GGATTTATCATATCATGGGGTAATCCTATACAATAGCACTGCCCAGCTCTCCTCACCAGCCGGTCACAAGTGACACTTGTGAGTAAGTCAGTCAGTCAGTCAGTCCGTCCGTCAGTCAGGTACAAAGAGGATTATATGCTGGTCCTTCCTGCAACCATGCAGCAAAAAGTACTTCATTTTGAACATTGGTAAACCACACCCTGTCTCTCTGCAAAATTGTGTCTCGCAATAAAACTTAACTGCATTTGTCACGGGACTGGCTGCAAAGTATGCGGCTTCGAAGGTTGCATCATGATGCTAGGCGTTTAGTTACATCCTCAATGAGATTATGACAGCATCTTCAAAAGATGTGCCATAGAAAGCATCGATTCCTGATCGCCCGTTCCTGACATTGTACCTATGTACACATCTTTTTCATAAGTAAAAAAAGAAGAAGCCAATCTTACATGCTTTAAGCTTTTTATTAAGACGGGTAACAAATTATATTTCGTTTTGTATCTTTTATCTCTTCCTAGGGAGTACCAATTGCCACTACCTATTTTCCACAAGCTTAGGGGTTCCTGATAACTATTTTCTATCTTCCTAAGGGGTTTTATGATGCCTATTTTTCATTCTCCTATAGAGGGTTCTTCTCAACAGGAGATTTCAGCAGGGGTTTCTCTAACCACTTTATATTTTGAAAGCTCTGGCAGGAGCTTCTACATGTCACTTGGTGGTCGGTCGGTCGGTCGGATGGTCTGTCTGTCTGTCCCTAAAATTGACCAAAAGTATGGTGTTCCATATGTGCCATCGGCGTCGCATTTTTAAACTCTGGCAGGGATCATTTTGATCGATTTCATGCAAGACTTTCATACAAGACTTCTTTGCAACACGGCCAGAGCTTATTGTCCACTCGCACTTGCGCTGACAACATCTTCGTCGAAGGTGCACGCCATTTTGTGTAGTGGTTGGACGGTATCCAGAAGGAGGAAATGTCCCCATAAGGTGGGCGGGGTGCCATTTTTAAGCTCTTGCAGAAGCTTCTACATATCACTTGGTGGTCGGTCGGTCGGTCGGTCGGATGGTCTGTCTGTCTGTCTGTCCCGAAAATAGACCAAGAGTTTATTATTTCTCTCTTACTTGGCGACAACACTTTTCACAGTAGAAAATAAAACCATTGGAGAAGACACGTCGTGTATTGATACGGGTATTATACGACGGGAACATCTGGAAACTTATTGCCGAGGAAGATCATCCCGACCGGGTGGGTTTCGACCAGGAGTCATCAGACATCAAGATGTCACTCATTTGAAAATCCATGGACAAAAGGCTGTCGACAGAGACAACACCCGGGAGGGGGACAAAACGAATAGAGTGACAACAAATGTTAGGGAATTGCAGGGAATGGGGGAAACATAAACAGGGAAAGAGAGTGCTCTTTGTGAAACTAAAAAATGCTCAACACATTAAGTAGGGGTGCATAACGTCTACAGGGGCAGATCCAAGGATTTTTGCAAAGGGGGAGGGGGTGTCATAAGCATGATCAATGCTGAAATGTAGACAGCTTTTTTCCGGACAATTGGCTCCGTATTAATCGATAGGAGGGGGGGGGGGGGGGGGGGGGGGACTCGTACCATACTTTCAATGGGGGAGCTGTTAAAATCTGACGATTATTAACAGGACTATATTAAAGGATGTACAAATTCCCCGTAATAATTTACATTATTACAATTTGTAATAATGTACAAATTCCCCGTATTACCCGTGCACAAGGCTCTCTCCGTATGTTTTGCACAGGTGTATATTAATACCAGTTTAATTGTTTTTGGGGATCAGAGCGGGGGGGGGGGGAGGGGGGGTAAGAGCCTTATTATTTTTATGAATTTCTATTGAAAAAAAAAAAAATTTGACACAGCTGGGGGCCCAAGGTTCCGCGCCTGGTCTAACTTGACGTTTCAGCTTGAATACTATATGCATTTTTAAAGAAAATACAGGAAATGCACAATTACTGGATTCCGTTGTTAACACACGTAAAAACTGTTGCCGTGAGCACACTTTCTTGAATCAATTCTATTGTTTTCTTCCCAATGATACCATTTCATGTGGAATCATTTCACAGTCCTTTCTTCACTTTGAGCAAAGATTTTCTCGTTAAATCGGTAGCTACGTTTCCGTGTAACTGCAAAATGTTCCTTAAGTCCCGGGTCAGCTTCGACGCAAACAATGGTCAGATTGGACTTGACACTTTTCCGGTTCTAAATGACACTTCGCTGAGTCACTTTTCTGGGCCATCTGACCCGGAAAATGTAATTTTAACACACAAAAATGTGTCGTTTTGACAAAGAACAGTATCAGGTCAAATCTGACCCGGGACTTTTATGAGAATATCAAAGTAGACGACGGTTAAAAATGAAACAGCCCGAACTGAATCCAACAGGTGTTATTGTTTTATAATTGAGGAATTAATTATTTTGTAGAATGTACAGTCCCATTCACAACACAGGCATCTTGAGAACCTGATGCTGATGATATACTACGAAGAGACTCGGGAGGGAAAGTGAACCACACGTGAAATCTAACCCCACCACTCGAGCCTCAAGCGGCCAAAACAAAAACGACATTTGATGGGGGCTCTGCTGGAAGTTCAATGCACGGGGGTCCTCCGACTCCGGCAGAAATAACAAAATGGACAAACAGCAGGGGGTACTTCAGTCGCTTTAGTGATGGGGCCCCCGTTAATGGATTCCCGTGTTTGGGTGAGTTGAAGGAAAAGGGCATTAGTGAACAAGTCCTCGGAGGTTTTTTTCTAGGACAAGAAAGACTATAGGAATGTAATGGACCACTTGAAAAGGGGAAAAAAGATTTTGGGGAAAAAAATATACACTGACTTGTACAAGGCATAAATTATGTATATATACTTAAATCAAAACTCTGGACACAATGTTACCGTTACTTGAGTTGATGACCTTGATAAACAGGCAAATCCTGTTTAAATGTTGTGCATGAAGTGGAAAAGTGTAGACTTCGTATATATACTATATAGTCTGGAATATTTAACAACTGGGTAGGCCTCGGGATTTGTTGCAAAGACATGATATAGGCTATGTGACAGGACTAATAAGGGGAGCCTCCTCAAAAACGTGTACTCCAACCCCCAACTCCCCCCCCCCCCACCCCAAAGCGATTCGAAACCATTGCCCTCTAACTCCGCCTTAACGCATTAGGTCTATGAACCGACATTTTTAAGCTCTGGAGGGGCTTCTACATGTCACTTGGTGGTCGGTCGGTCTGTCTGTCTGTCTGTCTGTCCCCGAAAATTGACCAAAAGTATGGTGTTCCATATGTGCCATCGGCGTCGCATTTTTCGGCGTCGCATTTAGGCTCTGGCAGGGATCATTTTGATCGATTTCATGCAAGACTTTCATGCAAGACTTCTTGCAACACGCCTAGAGCTTATTGTGCACTCGCACTTGCGCTGACAACATCTTCCTCGAACAAGGTGGACGCCATTTTGTGTAGTGGTTGGACGGTATCCAGAAGGAGGAAATGTCCCCAAACGGTGGGCGGGGTGCGATTTTTAAGCTCTGGCAAGAGCTTCCATCACTTGGTGGTCGGTCGGTCGGTCGGTCGGTCGGTCGGTCGGTCGGTCGGATGGTATGTCTGTCTGTCCCGAAAATTGACCAAAAATATAAATCTATATGTGCCATCGGCGTTGCATTTTTTCGCCAGAGCTTATTGTACACTCGCACTTGTTTTTTACAGAGTCACTGTAATCCGGATAATAAGCTACATTGTGTCAAATCAAGTGTGGGGTTATTCAGGGTAACAACGCTTGTCGAGGGAGGAGGATATCTCAGTGAAACTGGGTCGTCCAAGCAACCTTTCACCAGCACAGCAAATACACGTGGCGCGTCTGTGTGCCGCATTTACGCCACACAGAGATCAAGAAGTTGATACCCCAGCGGGCCCGTGGGTAGATGGCCGGCCGATAAGTCACGTCGTCTGACGGTATCATGATGACTGTACATATCCCGGACTGCGGGTGACTGACATCACCCTGTTTTCCAGAAAAATACGAGTCACTTAAAAAGGTGCTTTTTGTATTAGGCCTATTTTGTAAGTGGCTGCAAAACCGCATTATTTTGTGGAACAGAGGGGAGACATACGTGACATTATGAACGTAGCCCAAATGATGCTCATCCTCAGTGGGTTCTATTCATTGTGCATAATGTTTTCCAAGTTGTTGCGATTTAAACCCACTATCAGCGGCATAGCCAGGGTTCCCATCTTAGGGAGCGCTGTTCAAAACCGAATTCTTGGTCATTGTCAGGCACAAGGTATCGCTATCCACGTTCCAGGTGAAGTTCCAATAAACAGCCAACAGCGAAAAACAGGGTTTTCGCCCCCAAAAAAATGAACAATGGGAACAAAGGCACTTTATGCCAAACCCTCTAATCATAGTCTAATTTCAGACTAATTTCTACACGACATAAATGAATAGGCAAGCCCGTAAGAAGCTGCCACCATTGTAAATATCCGAATAGACAGAAAGTCAGTGAGACGTTAATAAGTGTATCAGTTTAATGAGGTGGGCTTAATCTTCTGCAGTGGTGTAAATCCGTGTCGGCAAGTGGTGGTGTGGGGGTGGGGTCCAACCCCCCAACTTGCCCCCCGTTCAAAAAATGTGGGGGCATATTCTCCCCATCCCCGGGATTTACGCCCTTGCCCCTCTGAGTCCAGCAAAAAGTAAACATTCGAAGCTTTTCCCCTTCGCCATAAATGCGAATATACGTATACAACATAATTCATGAGTCTCTCAAGCCTACTATCACGCATTCAATTGATATCAATATTTGTTATTTGCACCTGTTAATGATTGCACCCAAAACCTACTTGCCAAGAAAAACACATGTATTATTTCTTTTTTTTAGTAAAAGTGATTTTTGTTTTATAAACCGAAGTTAACAAGTTCATCTTTATATGTTTTAAGTTGCACATAGTACGCGCTTAGCCATCGTTGACTTTTCAAAAGACAGCAATTTCGAAACAAAACAAATATTTGGCACCATTACACGATTCCACGACTCAAAACGATCATGAAATTTCTGAAAATATTAAATTAATTTAACAAAAAATTGATGTCAGCAAATTCAAAATGAAATCAAATTGAAGGGAGTGGGGATTACTCAACTACGATTCGAAACCAAACTTATTAGCGCACACCCCGAAATAGAAAATCCGGGTAAGTAAACTAGCGGACTGTACCCCAGGAGACGGATACAAACGTCATGTTCTCAGCGCCGTGTCACAGACTCCCACTCGCCTAGTGGCTATTTCCTTGTTAACACGGCGCACACCACGGGCCGCATTGTAAGCGGGAAAGCAAACACCCTCGACTTTGTCACGAGCATCTCACAACTCGTATCATTCTTTTTTTTTCCCCCTACCCGTCTCACTCAAAATTAAAAATCGTCCCGCGTGGTATATTGCACCTGCGCAGATGACGATGCTAGGTGACATCATGTTCCGTGTAAGTGACTCTCGTTCATAAAGTGGCCGCGGTACTCGCAGGGTATAAGAAGCGCTATTGGCCTTGATCGTGATGCTATTGCATTTTTTTCTACCTTCACGCCAAGCGATAAAGTGGTGTATCACCGATTCTACGCAACATCGCCAGCCAACAAGAAGGCCCGTGTGGTGCGCAATCAGTAACAGTCTCCAACACACAGTACATGCGAAGACACACATTCTGACTCGGGGAATGGTTATATCTCCAACGTCGGACTCGGGAACTTGACAGACGACACAAAAGGCATCCCAAGTAGCTTTTCATTTCCAAGACGACCGTAGCATTCTGGGAGGATAACATCGAGTGCTGAGCAGCCGGGCTTTAATTTGAAGAACTTTTGAGGTACGTTAACTCCATTCTAAGTGGCTTCTTTTTTTGTGTCTGTGACAAATTCTTTAGCTGATGATCCCGCAATTAACATGAATATTATTTATTTTTTTTAAGCAAACAAAACACATGGCGGTTTCAAATAGGTAACTACTAGGAAACAATACAATACTAGGAAGGAAACCTTTACTAAACAAATAACGCAATATGTCGAGCATGAAAGTTCGTTTCGACCATGTATCATATATTGCAGATTGTATTGCAATCGAGCAGTAAACTTGAACAATTATTAAATAAAGGAGATATTTTATATATAAAACCAGGTGGATCAAGTTGTGCGTATTCAAGGTCCATCCAGTCGTGATGAGGCAAAGTTTATGAATACACTTGGGTCACCATCTAACGGCTGAGCTTTATCTGGCAAATAAATCTAAACTAAAGGACTAAGCATAAGGCCAAGTAAAAAAAAAAAATCAGAGTCCCCGACCGCTTCCTTTTGGAGGCCCTCTCTATTTTTCTTTTTTCTTTTCTTTTTTTTTTACGAAAAAATGATAACCTTTAAACAGTGACATCATGTTGGCCTCTTTGTCTGTTGCATCTACCCCATATTATGACGGAGGTATGTTATTTCCCGAGTCCAAGTGGCGGCCATTTAAAAAAAAAAAGCTGGCGGCCATCTTGCAAAATAGCCCGGTCGGGCGGTCATTTTGGAGGGAAAAAAGGGCCTCCTCCTTCCTTTTTTCCAAAAAGGCAGGACGCTAAACATTTGTTATTTATTTGGCCTGATATGTACATTCTGGTATGTTTATAACATGTTTTGCAAGCTTTGTTTTTCGAAGTATAAAATTACGCGGTTGATCATTTTTATTTTAAAGAAATCTGCATCGCGAACTAGAGAAATGCTAAATAATATATTTGTGGCAAGCGGAATTTTGTTTGGTGGTCGTTGCATGCATATACTAAGTTTATAAAAAAACACCAGTGGGGAGTTGTTACCTAAAAAGCAGTTTTGTTGTTTTTTTTAGTCGATAATGCGACGGTGAGGAACCGTCGTTCAACTGAAAAAGTCACCTCAATTTGCAAGTGATAAAAGGGTGTCTATAGTCATTGTCATATCAGATAACCGAGCTTGAACCAAAATCCAAGCTGCGATCATATAGCGCGATATGCAAATATCTAAGAATCGTCAATAAGTAAAGCATTTGTTTTTATTTTGCAAACAATTTATGGGCCGTTAGTGCTTCTAGCGTCTCTCGACAAATACGCGGTACCTATATAGCGCAAGCTGCTTTTCCCTCGAAGCGCTGCAAATAATCATGTAAATGTCACCACCAAAAGTGAACTTTTCACGTCACGATAATAACTTCAGGGTCATCCAAAGAAAGACCCTATAGGGCAATTCGGGGTGTTTGTTGGGTATACATAATTGTCCAATAATGTTTATTTTTACGTGTTGATCATTCAAAACAAACTGTTGTTGGGTCACACGTTTAAGGAACCCCCAGGAACCTCAAGGCACATATTGACATTTATTTCTCTCTTGAAATGCTTGTCACAAAACGCGTGCTTGTCAAAATATGCCTGCAAAACATCATAGGTCACTGTTGAGTTCTGCCTTCAACTTAAAGGTCATCTACTACAAATCTGAGCTTTTTTCTCCCTTTTCTCAAACATTCATCGCTTGCAGGCTTTCTCCAACCGTTGACCATGGAGCCGACTTCTCATCAGAGCCCGACAACGGCCTCGACGGTGGTAGTGAAGTGCGCCCTCATCGCGTTGCTGCTTCTGGGCCTGATCAGCCAGTGTTCGGCGGCCACCTGCCAGCGGAGGGGGTTGAGCCATCTCATCTCGCACGAGGGATGCATGCCCCGCCGCGTGCCCTCCTACGGCTGCAGGGGCTCTTGCACCTCCTACTCCCGCGTCTCGCCTACGGACTACACCCAGATGGAGCGGTCCTGCCAGTGCTGTCAGGAGTCTGACCACCAGGTGCGCACGGTATGGCTTAATTGCCCAGCCCTCTTCCCCAACACCCGGATGCAGGTGGAACTCAAGATGGCCATGTCGTGCAACTGTCGACCGTGCCATGGGCTGTCCGGAGTGCCGGCCGAAACCAGGCTAGAGGACCTTCTACAATAAAGATGGACATCGGACAATCCCTGAGGACGATTTCCGTAGAAACTGACTGTACTAAGTGTAGGGTATGACTCCAAGAATTAACCGCCAAGGGCGTCCGAGCCTTGGTATCAGACAAACCCTATAATTTCAAACAAATTAAAATCAAGAGTGTTAGACTGCAAGACACCGCTTAAGATAAAGACAATATGTTTTTAAAATGATGGCCATTTCATGGCTATTTTAATTGTAACTTTTTTGCCCGTTTCTCTCATAGCAGTACTATTTCACCATTTTACTAGCGGTAGTTTATCTGAATACAAAACAAAACCAAAAAAACACCACAAAAAGAGACTTTCCACACCTATTTCAGTCCTTCAAGAACCATGTCCCCTATAATGGTGATATCAAGAGTACAAATATTTGAATGACAAATTCTATATATAATTGTATCACAGCAGAAACTGTTATGAAAAGACAAACATTTTCTTGAAATATAGCAGCTATAGAAACAGGGGGGAAATAATTACTAAGAGTACATAGCTACGTCGGTCAAAAAAATCACTCAGCACCGAACTGAACATGTGCCCACGAACTGAACATGTGCCCACTAAAAAAAAATCAAATTTGTTTTTAAATGAAGTTTAGGCCTATGCCGACTCTGGCCTTTGTGAAGAGCCAGTGGTCATGTGGTCAAGCTGTCTGATGTTTCACAAAACGATTGCCTGTATGATATCAAGTGTAGGTACATAGCGAATTGTTTAGCCTACGACCCATTTGTCAATAAACCATTCTAGTGTTCATACGCTCATTTTCGTGCAATTAAACACACAGCGTGAGACATTATACCGCATTTTCTCAAAGTTACGACTTCACATGCTCAATTGTATGACGAAGATTGCGTATAAAAGTAGACAAATTAAATATTAGTCGTTCCCTTTTTGACGATTATCCAGTTTTCATTATAGCTACTAAAGATTGTAAAAAAAAACAGGCGTTTTCTTGCCAAATACAAATACAAAATATCAGAATACCAATGACTGTGCAATAATGTTAGCCGACACTAAAACGAAATACGAACATAAGCATAGCAAAGAAAGTGTGGAATTGCAAAAGACATGTTGGAAACATGACGAGACTCACAATAATTAGTAAAACCAGACTGAAAGTCTGAAACATGTTTGGTTGAGATGTGGACAGAAGTTCACTTTTACTGCTCCATGATGCGAAGTGTATATTTCGCAGAGGATGTTGAAGATAGCGTCATGGATTGGGGTATTTATTCAAGGACAATTTTTTGAAATGATTACTGGAACTTTGTACTTCACAATATTATTAATTAAGTGCACATTTTGCACTAATGAAGACGCCTGCACAGAGTTTAGCTGCATCTTTTTTGAAACACGACCTGTAAGCTACTAGTTGGTTATGCTATAACGCTCATGCACTTTGCACTGTATATTGCAAAACAATTAACAAACAGCCTGGCAGTATGGATGGAATAACACCGGCAATGACCGTTGGTAGAAGAAAGTACTTTTGAAGGACGTTAAATGTATTATCGAGGTCAGGATGTTTATAACTAGTAATTTAACTAGTAACTAAACTTCAACCTGCTTGATATAGTGCGAATCTATCGCACAATTTTTATCACGACTTTTAAAATTGGCTCTCACTTTGATTAACGCAAGTTTGTCGAAAGATTCCGTTTAAGGTAATCATCGGTAATTGATAGTAATTTAATCAATATATCCGACCTTTTGGCGGATGCGTAGTTTTTAATTTATATGTGAGAAAAAAAATTATATATTTTTGTGGAAATCGTAACATGAACACTGTGCATGCAGTGGGTGCTATTTCAATTGATGTACTATAAATATTGTATAAAAATAAATGAATGAAACGACAATTAATCATTTGACAACGGCAAAATGTACATTGGCAGTTATTGACTTAGTAGTAAAAACAAGCATGGTGGTGGGATCGACCAATCACAAGGACGGAAACTATCTTGTCTGTTTGCTGGTCCCAGAGAGCCAGTCTATAGTCGTCTTTATGACAGACTCATTGACTGACACACTGACTGTAACACTGACTCACTGACTGGCCAGACTTGCTCAAGTCTCTCACTGACTGACTGTCACTTGTGAATTGGACTGGTTACCTATTTCACTTGCTAATTAGACTAGTGCCGCTTGTTTCATCCCTCATGATACATATGAAGGCAATATATATGGGCGGATCCAGAACGCAATTTGGGGAGGGGGGGGGTAAAACAATATTTGGTCCCCCAAAAATTGGGTCAAAAAATTGTGGCAAGGGGTTCGGGGCCGCTTAAGGGCCCCGATTTTTTTGGATTCTAGATGCTACAATCCCGGCCAAAATGGTTGGGACACTTCCTGAGCCTGCCACGGTCGCCCACTCCCCCGCTCCCCCGGTCACCCACTCCCCCGCTCCCCCGGTCAATGTTGTTCTCTCCAGCTGATGGAGCACACACCGCGCAATGAGAGACAACAATGAACGGGGGCCGGGAGGTTGGGGCCCAGCGAGATTTGGCCAGGATTGTAGCTCTGTGGTGCAATCTCCGGCAATTTCTGACCACTTTAACCAATGTTTTAGAGGAAAAGATGATGGTGTATGCAGTGTCTGCCTTCGTTGCGACGTCACTTAAAAAAAAAAAACATAAAAATTGGTTTCCTTTTTTTTCGGGGGGGGGGGGGCATTGGCCCCCGTTGGCCCCCCTGGATCCGCCCTTGATAGTATAAGTCTCAATGCAAATGGTGACAGTGGAGTTTTCATTTCTACCATGTTACCACTGCAGCCATATTCATCGACCTTTTAGCAATTCTGAATCAATTGAATAATGTGGTGGGTTTTTTTTTTGGCACTTTGGGGCAAGCTTTACTAGGCTTACCATGTCTTGTTATGAAAGTTGTTTTCACACAGAGTGCTAAGCCATTCATTAGCCCATCGCCATGCAAGGGCGGACGGGGGGGGGGGGGGCAACGGGGGCCACGCCGCCCCCCCCAAAAAAAAAAAAACGAACCCAATATGTTTTTAAAGTGACGTCGCAATTAAAGCAGACACTGCGTACACCACCATCTTTTCCTCAAAATTTGTTGTTAAAGTGGTCAGAAATTGCCTCAGATCGCACCACAGAACATCAGCAGAATCCAATTATTTTCGGGGCCCTTAATTAAGCGGGCCCCGAACCCCACGCCGTAATTTTTTGGACCCACTTTTTGGGGGCCCCAAATTTTTGTTGGCACCCCCCCCCTCAAAAAAAAAGTGCGTTCTGGATCCGCCCTTGTCGTCATGTGGATGATGTACAAGCCAATTTTCGTTTATTCTTTACCGTAAAAAGGATAAATTATTTATTTTCCGTATAGAGATTTGAGAGATATCTGTCCCTTACAACTTCCGAAAGAATGCAACTAACCCTCAACACCCCCCCCCCCCCCCCCATGGAAGTCTACAAAAGAGGGGGCACCTCTATAGAATATACAAAAAATAACTGGGAAAAGTAAGGGGAAAGTAAGATTGGTATTCGCTCTTTTCACGCTTCCGCCATGGGCATGCAGAGCCTCAATCTGGCAAATTTACACAATAAATATAGCCGGTTCCGTGATTCCCGTGGCGGGGTTCAGATCACTGAACCAGCTATTTTTTATTGTGTACAGTTGCCAGATCGAGGCTGTGCATGCCCAATGGCGGAGCGTGAACTTCACGGGCTCATACTAGTCTTTTTTTATATAATACATGTAATTAGGTACTTGACACAAGAGGGGACCACTGCACTCGTGATGACTTGTGAAGAATGGACTGCAATTAGGCCATCAGCCTCGGTCCAAAGTTTTGGCCACCGGTATCAAATGAGGGGAATAATCGTCATAGCGATTTTGGCAAGGTATACACCTCCAGAGTTGGAAAATATGTGATAGCATTTAAGCGGTGGCAGCTTTTTGGGTGTTTAATATCACCTTTTTTTCCCCAAAATGTCCATCAAAATGCTTGTTACTACTCTAGGGGCGGTATTCCTTGCGCATGCGAACTTTAATCATGTATGCCTGATTTGATACTGGCCAAACCCCCAGGCTGATGGCCTAAAATGTAATCCTGTCATTGGGTAGCTACAGTGTAGCACAATGAATCATACTCCACATTATGGTGATAAAAATACGACCGCTACTCTTAAACATCTTTACATCCTCTCATTTCATTTCGACTCTTATAACAAACTACTTTTTAAAGAAAACAATTCGACCGGTTCCAACAACCTCGGTTGACTGTAAATACAGCTTTACAAAAAAATATCATAACATTAATCCTTGCCTAAAAAAACCGCAATAATCGCCAAGAATACAGACCAACAGGGAATATCAGAAATAACATGGCGACGGGCGACGGGCGAACTACCGTCTCGGACCCAACCAAGCGAGGAAAACCGCCAGAAACAAAAAAAAAGATTTGCATCCGGACTCCGGAGAGACGAAGCGGCGTGAAGAGCGACTCTTTGCCGGCGTCTAGCGCGACTGGCCCCCGGTGAGCCGACGGCCGGAAGCCCCAGTGGCTGTGGTTGCTCGTAATTAACCAAAAAGTCTATTGGTACACGCATAAACCAGGCAGAAACCGTGCTTGCTAATTCGATTTTAATGAGGTATTATGGACAACCTCTAATGGATTCCGTGTAAATCAACTTGGACAGCCTTCCTGTCTGCTTCAAATGATGTCTTGGATTGCGCATATAGCAGCAACTATCAAATACCCTTGAGGCGTGGTTTCACTCCACGATACTCCCAACTTTAACACACTCAAGAAAAAGGTTAAGTTAAGTATTTCAATTTGATTCAAGTCACTCACTGTATATCACACAACCTATGAAACACAACCCAGTCTCCTGACGACAGATAAAGTATGCTGTCCGAAACGTTGAGTTCAAACCGTTTCTTCTCAGAACCATCAGTCACAAACTCACAAATTGATAAAAGAAAGAAAATTTCACATGGGGGTCTCTGCAAACGGACCTTAATTGATGTTATACCCTCACCGTGCAAACGTTCCATTCTTAAAATCTGAACACAACCCAACTTCAGCCACTTGCATGATAAGACAAAACATGTTACATGTAGGGTATGCTGGCATGACGAGGAGCGGGTCCAGAAATCAGATTGATCGAAGGTACGTAGGAATATTGATAAATACCCGGAAAGGGACCTATCGATTTGATGAAAAGCCTTGCTCGTAGCTCAAAGCATAGGATAGGACTGGTACCAAATGCCCTGTAAGATTATTCCGCCTGAAATGGTATTGTTCGGAAGAAAACAACCATTGAAGGTGGTTTGAGAAGTGTGCCTACTTTTCACGAGCGTTAGAAACGGAATCCAGTTACAAGACCCTAAAATAATGTTGCATATGATTTGTTTTCTCAAAATGTGTCATCTGAGCTGAAACTTCATCAGATTAGTAATGAACCCTACTTAGGAGTTTGAGCAATTTTCTTGCTCCATACGAACAAAAATGCACATAAAGCAAATGATCCAAGGTACCCATAGGGATACGAGGGACACCATAGTTCTTCCTAGTGATATACAGACATAATTTGTGAGTGTAAAAGTCCATACTTTTGTGAAAGGAAACTTAGGCAACTAACACTAGGCCTAGTATCAGTTCAAACCTTCCATTGGTTGATGGGAACACAAAATAAGTTAAAGAACCGCCCACCAGCTAAAGGCTGTCCACCAAGTTACCAACAATGCACAATCATTAGCTGTAGGCCTATATGGGGGCTATTGCAACGTTTTTGAAATAACCGATTTACCGAAATAGGTAAAATACCAACACGGGCATAAACTTCGCAATCTATCCGCCAGGTTTCTTACGATGCAATTGATATAAGTTGTACCCCATCCTACAATTAAAGGGAATATACATCATTTGCTTTTGCTGTAATTTTCAGAAATGGATGGAATTGGGGGTTTGGAAATATAAAGCAAATATAGCTACACTGAATTTTTGGAGGTTTTGGGTTCGAAAATGCTATAAAAACCAAGAAAAACGATCATTTTCCTGTAGTCTGGTTCCCTGACTCCATATAAGAAGAAACAGAGCAGTTTACATACATTGGGGAATTGTAAGGTCAGGGAACCAGTCTAGCTGGCTCGTACCCGTTCATAGGTTTGTAATCGATTGCAAACAAGTGCAATGGTCAATTGGGGCCAGTATTTGAAAAAAAAGCCAGTTGTTTCCAACGCTGATCGGCCGATCAGCGTTGGAAATTGATACAAAAATAACACTTTTCTTGAAAATGACAGTATACCAGGTGCCATAATTTTACAGGATGCTTTAGACTGTCATTTACCAACATCCTATTAAGGTATTTCGCAAAAACTTGGTAGCTTTATTTTTCGATGTTTGCAAATGTTGTATATTCCCTTTAACTACTGTATTACGCCTATAATATACATGTATCTTCATTTTTTTTCATTTTAAAAGTGTGCCATATTAAAATACCCAACTAGGGTCATAATGCAACTTCGCTAAATCCTCTGGCATTTTTCTCATTAGGGAACTTGGTGGAGCTGCCAAGGTTTTCAGTAATATATACATCCATCATTTTCTCTTACCCCCACACTCCAAATGTTAGCACAACATCCCGAAGCAGTGAGTGGGTGCGTATAAATACCTTGATTACTACAATACCCTTCAGTAAAATTACTTAGTTTGTTTTTAATAAGAAATGTGTTTTTAAAGGTAAACCTTTTCGCTTTATATTTATGAATATGACGTTTGGCGCTGACGTTCGATGGTTCTAATCTGAAAATAAAAGCCCGTAGCCTTGTTGTGTTCCAACCATAGACATATAATAAAACCTAGACACGACATTTGCTATTGCGCCTGTGAGCAAATTGCTGCGCGTATAGAATA